ACTGTTAGAACAATAAGATCAGTAGGTCTATTTGCTTGTCTGTCAGTCTGTCCGTTTTCAGCCTGCCTGCCTGTCAACTTCTGCAATTTCAAGTGAACAAACTGGCTATGTCACTGGCATTACGACCCACAAAATTCAAATAACCAGAGTGCTTTCTTCAAGATTACCTACCTTGACCGCATCTGCATACAGCATGTACTCTTTGATAGCTGGGAGGAAATTTGTCTCTGTGGATACCGTCTAAAAAACCAAACAATAAATGCAATAAGATTGTAGGTACGACATGCTCCTCTAGTCATAACAATTGAAGTAAAAGTTCCATTCACTTTCCACCGCTACACTTTATTCACGGGCTAGTCACAGCGGTCAGATCATAATTCTGACTGATCCTGTGATCAGTAAAATTTCATCAAAAGACAAAGCAGGCAACTGCTTGCTTATTGATCATCGAAAGTCGTAGCACAAATACATCACGTTATATTAACAGTCATAGTCAGGCAATTCTCAATGTGTGGAAAGGAGAATCTAAGCTCTACCCAACATTGTACTGACTCTGAGTGGGAAACTTTGTACAGAATGGATGCTTGCATAGGAGGGTTATATCTGCAAATGCAGGATTAACCCTAACACTCCTCAGTCCTCCAACAAGTGAAGGATTGAGGAGGGTTAGAGTTAAGGACCAGAAAGTGGGCTATGGAAACATCACATTTTATTTTCAATACAAAATAAGAGAACTAAACCCTACACACGCCCCAGATCCAACAGGGTTTCAATGTGATTTACACTGAACCTTGAGGGTTAGGGCTGCTAGTGGCTGAACCCATTGCAGAATTTCTGGTAAGTGGTTTGACCACTCTGAGGAGTTCCAGTGTAGGGAGCACACCACATATGGGCACCATCACTGCACATGCGTGATCAATTTTCATCTGAATGTGTACAAATGTAACTTGCTCTGTAAAAGAGAAACAGAAGTCGTTGCGGCCACGAAAAGTGTGAACGATGGAAATCAGTATGAACCCTTAACCTTATTTGCCCACAAAATGTCCATATTCAGTAGGATCCCAAACTGAGTGATAGATTAGAACTAAGAACCAAGTTTGTTCTTTCCAGTGCAACCTTAGACCTCAAAACTGGCTCTGGCACATTCTGACTCATTTTCAAAGAGAGGGTCACAAATTGGCAACAACACTGTGGCAGTGCATTCACCCATCTGCCTTTATCTTCCACGGTCGCAACAAGGGGCCCAACAATCAAAAATAGTTGGTGATGCATTGTGTAGAAAGTCTCCCAATTTCAGTCCAGGCTAAGAAGACGGTGCACCTTTTATCCCCGGTCTATTTCCAAACGCACAGCATATGAACCTTTCTACAGTTAGTCACTCACCATGTCTTTGACGGCTTTGGCACACTTGTCTAGACAGTCACTGAGGCTGCCGAGCGTGTCATCCAGCTCAGCCTCTGAGTTGGCCCATAGTCTGTAGGTCGGCCCATAGGATTCATACTCAGTCCCCAGATCTGAAGATATTATGAGCGTAACAATTGGCAGGTGGTTGATAAAAATATGCACGATGACATAATGTTCCCCATCTGAAAACTGGCTGTCAACTTTTAAACTTTTTACCAGTAACCTAGCACTGTTTAACATCATCATCAGTCAATTGATACTGTTGTAAATTCTTGTTCAAAAACTTCAAAACAGTTCATTAGAAACAGACTCTTCAAAGCTCACACTTGGTCAAACTGTGTTACCCTTTGTCAATCTATACCACCCTCGTACCTGTATTTTAAGTAACTTCCTAGCTAACGCTCCACACTGTTTCGCGAGTCTTATACTTTTCCCTCTTACTGACATGATTTTCATGAAACAGTTACCAGGATCTCTGTTTTATGGACTATAACGGCATGTAGGGGTAGCTGTGGGACTGCATGGAGATCCCAAAAGATAGAATGCTCAAAGCAATGGCTCTCACCCATCTGCTCCTTGAGAATCCGCTGGGAGATCCTGTCAACCGACGACATCTTATCACCGAAGGTGTTGATGTACTCGCTCATGATGGTGAACTCGGGGCTCCTGTTCTTCAGCATCAGTGCCGACGTGGTGGTCTTGATGCTGGAGCCAATGCGACTGACAATGCCTGCGCTGGCCTTACGGTGAGATGTCAGCTCCTGGAGGTGAAAAACAGGTTGAAAAAAAAAAAAATTCACACAGTAAGTCGGTAAACTATCCCAGACTCTACAACACCTGTGCAACTTTTGGGGTGAAAAGTGACTTTTGTACGAATGGCTTTGAAAGCTTTTCTGTGCAAAATAATCTGTTTTGGTGCTACTTTCCTACTTGAAAACACAAATTGTCAACCACAAGAAAAAATGAATCTCTGATAATAAGAAGTCAACTTGGCGCTAAAAATATGACGTGTGCAGAACTAAAGGCAACTTTCCATGTGTACGTCAACACTTGCGCCAAGCACTACGTATCCGTTAAAACTGCTCTGGGAGTGATTTTGACAGCCAAACACAATGCACATGTATGTTATGTTAATGAAGTCGATTTTTGTGTCCATGAAAGTGAAACGCATGAACGCATCGTATACGCAGCGCACCCAAAAAATTTACACATGGAAAGGCGCCTTAATACTGCACTTACCATTTCAAGCTAAAATTGAAGAAACTATGAGAGTAAGATGGGAAAAGAAGTAAAATAGACGAGGGTATGACAACGAAAGAAGCATGTTGGTAAATGATAAAACAAGAAGTACATATATACACTCAAGGCAATAGATTCTGACACAGTGACTCTCACTGTGAGAGTAACTGTGTCAGATGTAATGTGGATCTCTCAAAAGATCCACATAACGGTTATGGAGGTGCACGAAAGACATATATAAACTCATTTAGTGTTTCTGTATGCCATAATAACAGCAAAATTGCAGTACTTGTGTGGAGACACAGACTTTTCAATGGGCTATTGTGAGCAATCACATGACATGACCAGATGACAGATCAGCCACTAAGAATGCAGGGTTAGATATTTTAAATTAAAGAAAGGACAAGAAGAAGATCAAGCTTCATCTCTCGGTTATTGACCAATCAAATATCATAATGATTGCACCAAATGCTTGGGCAATCGTAATACCAGATAGGATAGGACTATGACAACCACTTGTGAAAAAGCGGAACATTAGAGTGACATGTTGAACAAAGGCATGGCATGGTGGTATCTAACAATGACAGCAATAAATGGCATTTTTTTGCAGGCCAAATACAGACAAAGAAAGTGACAAATTTCCAAAACGTGCCAAATGAGGCGTTACCTTTCCCTAACCGTGACATATGAGAGCACGACAATGGTTAGCAGCACTGCACATCCCACATGATTTAAGAAACACCGAGTTTTACCCATGCCTTGGCTGTTAGGAAGACCTTGAGGTACTCGTTGAAGGAGATGACCGGGTGTTCGGAGATCCGCTGCATGAACTTGTGCAGGGCAGCCTGCCGCGTGATGGCGAACTCTTTGCTCAGCCTGTCCAGCCTCATGCTGTGCTTCTCTGGCAAAGGCTGAAAACAAAAGCAAAACGGGACCTCTCCATGTGAACTGTTACCATAATGTTGGTTCTGCTTAACGGAACCTTCCTGAATGCTCTAAAATTCATTCCATTGTTCACTGAACCATTGGTAAACTCTTTTTACTTCCGTGAAATCAAGCCCTGTGTAAAGTTATATTGGAAGGGCTAAACATCTGTTAGTCCTTCAAATTCTGAAGTTGAGGTTTAAACTTGAAACCCTGCAAGATCTTCAGATCAACAAAATCCAACAGACAGTGCCCACTGAGCACCGAGTTTGGGCTCAAGGTTTCAAAAGTGATTTTAAAAAAGGAAAAAAATCTTTTAAGGGCAGGTTACTTGACAGATGAAGTCACTCTTTTCTTACTGGTATTATGTGCGTTTCTTCTGTTTCTACAAGTTTCTGTCTTAACCAGAGGAAATCTTGGTAACGTCGTCTTACGCTGTACTCGGGCTCATCAAATGCACTTCTTGTGGTCTATAAGATTTTTTAAAAAGAAGGAAAAGAAGACCAAAATTAAGAAGAACACATCACAAATCTACCTTTACACTATCTATGCACTAAGTATAAAGTTCACTCTTTGAAACATGTAAATACACAATGTATTCAGCCAGACAGCTGAATACATTCTTTTCATATCATGGCTAATTCTACAGGTTGTTGCTTTTCAGGCCATTTGTACAGAAATTTTGTTTTAGTTTGCATAAGACAGAGTAACATGAGCTCTCCATTTTATGTATTACCAAGTTTGGCATCCTGATGTAAAATGGGCATTGTGTTCTTGAGAAATTAGGAGATTTCCTGCGGATCTACTGCCCAAGGTTCTTCCAGACTTTATTAACTAAAAAGTAAGATCTAGTCATACTTTTAGCTTTTAGTACTTACCCTAGTGAATACTCTATAAGTGATGTACGTATCTATTGTAAAGACATGCTTTTGGAAATCATCTACTGTGATGAAGAGGTCTTTGATGTCTGGCTCTTCCTCCAGCTTCATGGATCCTGCGTTGGCAGTGGGCGGGGCTTCAGGACTGGCACCTGGAGCTGGTGCACGGATAACCTATTGAACATGTACACATGTAGGCACACACAAAAAAGGTCAAATTGAAGAATACAATTTTTAAAAAATCAAGTGAACCATAACTGACTCCTAGTCTTTACTGGTAGCTAACCCCTAGGATAGAATAACCTCTGCAAGTTCGTTCCAACCAATTTTAAACTTCTCACAAGGTGTGCATGCCATCAGCCCTTTGCAGTCTTGGAAGTCTTCCTTCTCCACAACTGAAGGATTGAGGAGTTAATATACCGTTAGGGAGACTGTTGCTAGTATAATGAAATCCTTACTAACTTTGCCAAATAAAAACACACACATGTTGTATAGTACCGGGCAGGGTGCTAAACTACATGTAAATGGGCCTAACGTTAGGACTGAGGATTGCTTTAGGATGTGTTTTTAAAAAATGCAGTGGCTATTGTAACGTGAGTTTAGACAGGGTTTTTATCTACTTTCTTGCACCAGACAGGTGCATTGGAAACAGGAACCAGACCAGCTTAAATTAAATGGATCTCAGATTTTGTTTTCCCTTTAAATAAAATCCTGCAGGAGTATGAAGCTTCCAAATGGGAAGAGAAAACTTTCATAAAAAGTAAACATGAAATCTGAGAAAATGAAGAAATAATGAGGGAAATAAAAAGGGAAAAAATTTTGTTGGGAGTGGAGATCAAACCCAGTACATGTGCACCACACAGTGACCTGCGTACTGATCATGCTACTGCAGCCATCTTTAAAGTAAGATCGTTGAACATTACGTCACTTGACCCTTCATCGTCTCAGCGGCTGTTCCATGTCAAGACATATGTAATAAACCGACTGAGCGATAAAATACTACATGTACCAATGGGCTCTTCCAAAACTTTGGCAGCAATTTAGATGTCTTGACATGGAACAGCCGTCGAGACGATGAAGGGTCAAGTGACGTAATATTCAACGATCTTACTTTAAAGATGGCGACTGAGAGAGCGAGCCCATTAGATTGAATGGATAAAGGCAAAAAGACTGGAAAATACCTGAATAATGTGAGTGAAATCATTCAATAAATGGTTTTTAGAAAGCGGAAAGGTCAAGAATCATGTTCGTGTGCAAAAGAAATTGCGCCCACGATGATAAGTGGGTGCGCCAAAATGTTCAATATGCCGACACAAAATTGCACATACGGATGTGTGGCTAAGGATGGATCGGGAGTGAGAGTCCGTGCCACACTAGTGGGGCTAAGCATGACCACCATGTGACAAGAGCTATGAACAAAATATAGATTAAAACGTTCATATGGATATTTGGCAAGGTATGGGACAGGTGGGCACTGTCCCTAGCCGGCACCGTGCCCGCCATCATGATCTTGACCACATCCCTAGCTACACCTTCAACCTTGTACATATGTACTTTGTTGGTAGGCCAAGGTTCATTTTTAAGTAACTTAAGGAAAACAAAATGGTTCTCTTCAACACATCTGAAATATCAAAATAATTTCAGTAACAGTCGCAAGATACTGCATGTCCGAATTCCTCCCCGGCCTGTTAGTGTTACAACCAGACAACAGATGTCGGAAATACGCCTCTCAAGCCATTCACGTCAGACTGACACAACCGATGGTCCCCTTGTTTTGCTCATTGCCAGTGGCAGGGCACGCATGTGTAGGCTAACTCCCCCAGCATTAAAAACACTTCATTTTAAACCCACCAAATCAGTTTTCCCCAAAATGAAAACATCTACAAAATACAAACAGTCATTCCTCACAGCAATAATGTCTTCTTCATCGTCTGTTCCAGACGAAAGGGGGTTTTGTAATGGATCTTTCTCAGTTCCTCGTAAGTCCGATTTATCAGTTTCGTCCGCCATGTTTGCTGACAAATAGAGAAACTTTAGCCTCTAACAGAAGAATTAATTTTTCGATTTGATTTGATTTGCTTTTAAATGCTATTTCATTAAATACTTTGTTGTACGTAAAAATTCTTCAGATGTTTTAAAGAAACCTTTTTAGCTCCGTTTGTATTTAAATATAATAATAACTCTTCTTGACAATTTGATATTGATTGATAGAGGACAGTTTAGTTTCAGCAAATATGGAGCTGGAAAGTTCTGTATTTCACATTTTTGACTTGGTGGTTTGAACATTTCATTAAAATTGACCTTATCATCAAAGAATTGATATGTCTGGCCTAGGTCCAAGTAGCGGTCAAGGTAAATATGTGATTGTTTGACACATTTTTTTTTGCAGCAACTGCCCACTACAATCAGGTGACATTTAAGTTTCCCTGTACTGTAGTGTCAAAAACATCATTGAATGGGAGAAATGGAAAGATTCTATATACGGATGCCGCTTGACACCCTGTGCACAAACCTAGTAAGAGACTGGAACTGGTCTGAAAAATACTTTGTGTATTCTAACAATCTAAGAAAACGACTTGGTTTTCCCTCCTAAATTAAACTTTCTGGACATGTTTTTGTTTTCTGACAGCTAATACATGTAGGTCACTGTATGGAATAATTTCTGGTGCCTGTTAACTCTTCCCGCAGAAATATTGAAAAGCTACATAGGCCCCTATAAAACATAAATAAGCCAGTTCGATGTTTCGGGCGCACAAGGAATTCTGGGATTGAATTTGGATAAACAAAACCCACATGGCATAGGCAGCTGGCGTTTTGAGCATGGGGAGTTGTGCAGAAGCCTGCGCCGAGATCCGTCGATCAGCTGTGCAAAGTAGTTGAACTAGTACCTAATTAAACCAAATTTTCAGCTTTTTGAGCTGATCTTTGTCTTACCTTTGATAAAATTTTTTAACAACCCACAAAGTCAGTTTTGCTTGGATCATGGCTTGGACAAAAATACTTTTGTGAGATATTTACAAATGGATCGGCGTGCGTGTTCTGGTCCACGATGTACATGTATGTTACTAGACTGCTGTTGAAATTTTCTCGCGCGTATTTTGTTACGCATTTTACCCGTAAACAGGGCCCAAAGAATACTCTTTATGGGACGAAGGATCTTAATTATGC